ACCATCTTTATCTTTATTTTTATTGACTTGAAGTCTATGTTATCTGATATGAGTATGGCTACACCAGCTTTCTTTTTGTTTCCACTTGCATGAAATATTGTTTTCCATCCTTTCACCTTGAATCAAAATAAGTCCTTGTGGGTTAGATGTGTTTTCTGGAGACAGGAGATACTTGGCTTGTATTTTTTTTATCTAGTTGGCCAGCCTATGTCTCTAGAGTGGGGAGTTCAAGCCATTCACATTTATTGAAAAAATTGATGAGTGGATTTCTGTTCACCCTGTTGAGTAGAACTTTATTGCTTTGTTTCACCTCTTGAGCCATTATGGTGTCTGGGCTCTGACCTTTAGCTGTTCAGTGATTTTACACTGGTGGGTATCTATTGTGCTGATCCATGTATGATACAGTTCTGAGTACTTCCTGCAGGTCAAGTCTGGTCTTGGCAAATTCCTTCAGTGTTTGCTTGTCTGAAAAGGTCTTTATTTCTCCCTCATATAAGAAACTTAGTTTTGCAGGATACAAAATTCTGCACTGGCCATTATTCTGTTTTAGAAGGCTGAGAATGGAGCCTCAATCCCTTCTGGCTTTTAAGGTTTCAGTTGCAAAGTCTGTAATTAGTCACGATATGTTTTCCTTTGTAAGTTACCTCCTGCTTTCACTTTACTGCTTGTAGGAGTGCTGCCTCTTTCATTTTTACTTTGGCCAGTCTGATGACTGTTTTGTGTCGTGATTGCTTCCTCATAATGAATCTATTAGGAAGCCTTTGAGCCTCTTATATCTGTATATCTAGATTTCTAGGAAATCCTGGGAAATTTTCATCAATTATTCCCTCAGATAGGTTTTTCCAACCCTTGTGTATTTTATTCTTTGCCCTCAGGGATGCCTATGATTCTTATGTTAATTCTCCTTACATAGTCCTATATTTCTTGTAGATTTTGTTCATTCTTCTTATTTGTGTGTTCTTTCTCTTTGACTTGTTTAATTCAAAGGTGTTGTCTTCAAGCTCTGAGATTCTTTCTTCTGCCTAATATAGCCTATTCTTAAGGCTCTCCACTGTGTTTTGTATTTTCTTCAATGAATCTTTCATTTCCAAAAGTTCTGTTTGATTTTTTTTAGTAATCAATTTCGTTAGTGAATTTTTCATTCATTTCCTGCATTGTTTTTGTTGTTTCTTTGTGTTGGACTTCTATTTTCTCTTGTATTTCACTGAGCTTCCTTACAATCCATATTCAAAATTCTTCATCTGTCATTTCAATCTTTTTGTTTTGGTTGGTATCCATTAATAAGGAGTTATTATTTTCTTTTGGGGGTGTCCTTTATCTCTGATTTTTCATGTTTCTAGATTACTTTCACTGCTTCCTTCTCATCTGGCCTTTCAATCAAGACCTGGGGATGCTAGGCCTGGATTAAGGGCCTGTCTTGGGTCCCCAAAGATCAGTCCCTGAGCATGTCGGGCAGAGGAGTACTGGTCCTGAGTTGTCTATGAAGTGTAACCAGGTTTGATGAACCTCTTGGGTTACTCTGACCTGCTGTCTTCACCTCTTCCCAGGACTGTGTGTAGTGAGTTAGGTCCCCCAGCTTAATCTCTGAGATGGTGGGTGGTACTGGCAAGTACAAATCAGCCACTCCCTGAGTTGGAAGGTGCTATGCTTAGCTATAGGGTTGTGTTCCCCTTGTCATAGATTGAAATTTGTGTGGAAGAGCCAGCTGCCAAGATGGTCTTTTGTGTCCATGGTAAGCTCTTATCCCCAAGGTGGGGCACACGAAAGCTCCAAGATTTAGGAGGGACCCTGTAGCTCCCAGGGCATTGCTTGACCTCTACTCCCCCTGTGGGTGGGGGAGGAGCAAGACAAATTGTGGCTGGATCACCACAGCCTATGAGGCTTTGCAAAGCCTCAGCAAGGCTCAGACGTTTCTTAGCTGGCTACTAGGGGGAGCCACTGGTATGGAGTTTAGGACAATGTCTCCAAGGTAGGACACCTGTTCCCAAGGAAAGGGCCTAATCACTTGAGTGCTAAGGCCCTGGACCAGGCTCTTTCTGCCCTTGTCTACTAGCACAGTTTCTCTGTGGGGTAAGGTGAACACGCTGTCTATTTGCTCCCTGAAACTCCACAGCATTCTCCAATCAGAGTAGTCCATGTGGGTTACCTCACTGCTCAAGACCAGCTCTGGAACTACCCTCAGTCCGTGTGTCTGACCCATTAGCGTGAGTCTCTGTGGGGTACTGGCAGATAGGAGACTCCCCAGTTGTGCACACCTGTTTAACTGCAAGATCCCAAGGGGAGAGAGGTATATCTCTCTGCAGGTGCCTCTGCCAGAGGTATGCTCCTGCTGGAGAGAAGTGGCCACTCATGAGTTTCTTGACTCAAGCTGCACTCCCTATTGTAATGATTGGGGGAGGGGCCACTGCTCCCTTTCAGCCAGCACTCCTGGGGCATTCAGTTGTCATTGGAACCAAGGGCTAGGCTAATTCACTCAAAATGCTGCACCCCTATCCAGTATGGTGGTTCTCCAGTGGGGGTGGAGGATTGGCATGCTCACAGATCCCTGTTCCTCAGTGCCCCTCCACACTTTCCTGTTGGATATGTCCATAAGGGCTTCCTCAACACCTGAGTCTGGGACCAAGATCTCTCCCCTGCAACTCCCTGTACCGCTCCCATGTCCAGAGAGCACCAAGTCCCTCCCACCTGTCTAAGCTGCCAGAGCATGATCCTGTGAAATGCTGGTGGATAGGAAGTTTACAAATGGTGATGGCAGCCCTGATTTCAGTGGCAGGTTCAGATGGGAACCCACACCTGCCATAGAGAAGTAGCTGTTCATGTGCTTTTCAGTCAGAGTATTCTCATGGATGCAGTGGGTCGGGAGGGGCTTGTGGCTACCAGCTGACCCAAGGTGAAATTACTTTCTCTGATACCATGATTGGAAGAGGTACAGAGGAGGAAGTGTCTAGTTGTAAGACAGCCAGCACTCTGGTCTCTCATGGCACTCTCCTGTGGAGTGTCCCTTTTTAACACCCAAATTCTGGGGTTTGCTGGTTCACCCTGCTATTCTTATTTAGCTGCCATGCCTGGGCTCATGGCAGGTAGAAGCACCTTCAGTATGTTTTGCGTCCCGCTTTTTACCAAAGGTACCTAGATGGGGGAGGGGAAGCCCCCATTACCCTTTCACTGGAGTCCGAGCCTCTCTGGGTTTGGTCTGTGCTGCTGTCTTCTCCTTTCTATCTTCTTCTTTCTCAGCTTTGCCATTTTTCTTGCTTAGGTCCCCAGATGTCTCTGTTGTCTCTCCCTGTAATCCACAGCTTGGCTGTAACTGTTCTCCGCTCTTCACATTCAATATACTACTTTCCAGCTGGGATGATCCAACAAATTATGTCTCTAGTCAGCCATCATCCTAATTCTTAACGTTGTCATTTGCTTTAGGTTTTATTATTAATATGGGTTGATGGAAAATTTTTAAAATTTATTTGTTTAGATCTATCCATACATGTCTTTGATTCATCTCACTGTTTTCATGCTTAAACATTCATTCTCCGTTCTGAGGTCAGAACAATCTTTTTTTTAAATTAAAAAAAAAAACTATCTCTTTAACCCTGCTGAAATGTATTTTCTCATGTGGTAAAGGGACTCTACCTGTTTCATTTTTAAAAAAGGTTTTTTTCTTCTCAATTTATAGCTATCTTTATGATATACTAGATTCATATATAGAGAGAGACATTTTCTGGGAAAACTTGCCTTTATCATTATTGCCTACTGAAAACCATGCTTGACTTTATTGTAGATTAACTGAGGAACACCTATAATTTTCCAGACTAGCATTTCTTTGATTTAAAATTGTCAGCTTGAACCTTGTGGAATTGTTCTGACTCTTTAGATTATAGCTAGCAGAACTATAAGACTGTAATGGAAATATTACCCCTTACTCAAGTTGCATAGTATTCTTCTATACTGTAAATGCTGTTTCTCCCTGTGAAAGCTAGCAATTCTTTCAAGAGTTGCATTTATCTCTACTTGCTACAAATAAATGTTTGATCGGTCTTCAAATAGTATTTCAACCTCATGTGCCCTAATATGCCAACCAAATGCTTTTTCTTCTTTTTCTTTGGCTTATCCTTCCCCTTCCTCCTTCCCTGCAAGTATTTGGGGAGTACCTACTCTGGGCCAGGGACTGGGCCTTCCTGCTTCTGGGGATCTAGTAGTGAACAAAATAGACAAAAATCCCTGCCTTTATCAAGCTTTTAAAGGAGAGGATAGATGATAAGATAAAATATATGATATCTTAGATGAACTAAGGAGGAAAAAATGAAGTGGGAAGGGAAAAAAATATCTAGGATGTACGTGCCTCATAGTTGTATGTAGTATGATCAGCAAATGTCTTTCTGAGTAGGTGACATTCAAATAAATGTTACAAATGGTACTGCATTATTAATGTGGGTGAGTTTTATTTTAAGAAACTCACAGATTCTTTCCACACCTTGTTAATCAGCCCTCTGAATCATTTAGAATTATGGTTACAATTTTCCCTTCCATCTTTGATTTAAGTTCTCAAAGTAAAGCATTCAATAGAAGATTGACTGTAGGAAAAGAATAAATTTTCAAGTAGAAAATTGTGTATTGTGGATCTTTGTGTTGAGATATTTTTAATAAGTAGGTCACTTTTCTAGGAGAAAAATGGCATATCAGTGCCATTTTAAAGGTAAAATAATTTATTAGCTAGTGTCCTTCAAGGAAACACTGTAACATAGTAAACTTTGATAAATTTGGGATTCATGGACCCGACCTGAGATCCTAGCTTCCCCCTAACCCCTGGTCCCCAGCTGCCACCACCAATCTGTGACTTTGAGTGAGTTACTTGAGTTCTGGAGCCCCGTGTCCTCATTTTGCAGAATGGAGTAAATTCCTACCTTGTAGGTTAAACTGACTACATATAGAAACTGCTCTAAAATTTGTGTTTCTTTCTTTCTTTTTTTTTTTTTTACTAGAATTGATTTTTTTTTTAAATGTAGGTAAATTATGTGGGAGAAGGGTTTACTTGATGATTTTCATGAGCTCTGGACCACTGATGAGGGTGACATTTTATTTCCTTGTACAAGGTGCTTTTGGCATAAGCTATATTGTCTTCAAAGTCCAAGGTACGTTTGGTCATTTTGTAAACTTATAAAAGTTAAAAATCAATGTTACTCTTTTTAGGAATATTTCAAAACTTATACAGCATTTTGCAAGAAATTGTTTCTGTGAAAAATGAATTTATGTTTGAGAGGAAAATCTATTTAAGTCATCTAAGATTTGATCAGGTCCAAAAGGGAAAAACTGCTCAATGGATATATTGATTGATTGACTTATGATTTATCCACATGGCTAAGATATGTTGGTTACAAGATAACTTTTTTATTATTATTACTGTGATTGTGATTTTACACCACAGAGAATCTTTTCTCCTGCTGTAATTCTTATGGATCAGATTTAGGTTTAAATCTTAGCTGAGTGATCAGCTCTGGACAATTTATTTCTGTATCAGAATTTTATTTGTAGTAATATAATAGCAAAAGATTAGGTTTTGAAAACAAACTATACAGATATTAGATTCTAGCATTATAAATGTAAATTATGCAATTCAGAGTTATAAGATTGCACTTTAGATCGTGTAGTTAGTGAAGTTTTTTGATTCTAGGTTAACGTAGACGACTGAAAGTTAATTTCCCTCCTTGGTACCAAAAAGCATTGCAGAGGATATATTTTTCCAGACCTGTGTATGCTGCACATTTGTTAAACAAAAAAAAATAATAAATAAAAGCATTCCTATTATATGAAAGTTTTCTCTTGGGGAACTATATTAAGAATATTATTTTCAGGCATGATGCACAGGGGAGTGGAAGTAAAAAAATATTGCTTTTAGATGGAATTCAGCAGTTAACAGGCATTAACTATAGTTTTCCATATAATTTTCCATAGACCATAGGCTATGTCAAAGATAATTCTGAGGGATGTGCTTTTTCCTGTACCTTTGAATATTTAAGGTGGGAAGACTTTTCAGTGAAACCAACCACATCCTGATAATTACTTTTTTCCCTAAGACAATTAGGGAGGAGAGCTGATTACCTTGATCTAAAAAGGCATATTATAAGCCTGTTAAAAATTAATTTTATTCCCATTCCCTCTGCTTCCTTTTCTTCTAGGTCCAAAGGACAGTAAAATAACCAGACCTTCCCAGAATTCAAACCAAGAGCCATGTGGTCACTTTTGAGGATGCTCTTCTGACCAAGCCAGCCAGAGTCATACAGATCCCAAGATATTCTCATGGAGCCACTGTAAGATAAGGGAGGCATGTTTATCATGATGAAAGAAGCATGTGAAAAATCAGTTAACTAACATCAGCACTTGGTATTTGCTGAAAGCATTACTCTCCACCTTCTTCTCCTTAAAAAATAGACTCTTAGTTAACCCTTGATCTCTGGCTTTTAATATGGAAAGAAAACAATGTAAGAATATTCCTATTGGTAAATTGTACTTTCTCAACAAAAGAGACCAATTTATTAGGCAAAATAGAAGCCAAATCTCTATGAAAGAGATTTTGGGGAACTTGGGTCAAATTCTGGCACATTTAGGTCCTTCAACTCTTATAGATTACCAATCACAATTCAGAACAACACACATGATGGACTAACCATTCACCATAATGTGTGAACTTAACTGTAACTTTTGACAAATTAGGTATTAGAGAATATTATTAATTGGCATCATTTAAAGTAGAAATCTTTCTCTCACCCAGGCATAAAGAAAGAGGCATAAAAACTAAGGCTCACTGAGAGGCAATAAAATTGACACATTAAATTCTGAATAAATAAGTGTATTCTATTTAGAAATCGTTTCTTTCTCTCATCCATGCCATTACCAATGGGGGTTAGTAGCCCCTTTAAATCACATCATTTGCCTTTATGTTATCAACTTCCAGATGAAGCTGAGAACCTTAGCCTGTCATAGTCACCAGTGGGTTTGTGAAGGATTTGGACCAGGCAAAAATAGGTTACTAATTTTCCATGGAGAACTAAGCTATTGATTTTCTTTTATGAAACATTTTTAGATTGTTTTATATTCAGTATGTGGCTTACATGTGACATCAGCTGGTCTCAGGTGATGTTGAAATAGCCTTACTGTTATTATTTTCTTAGATTTGAAATTAAGGTGACATCTTCTCAGATTAAGTTAACAATAAAATGCAACTATATTTCCCACATGGATCTCACCTAGATTAAATTTTCCCAGAAGTACAAAAAATAAACGATGGATAAAGTAGTTTTAGAAAAATATAAACACATAAAAATTGAGACTATACTATTAATCAGGCAAAATAATCACAGGAAAAGGCATTAAATGGGTTTATCAATTAGGTAGTAGCTAGAAACCTGGTTATAGTGACGTAAACATTATTTTAAGAGAGATATCCAGGGGTATGCAGATTCACTGTTATTTAATAGTTCAACAATTCATCTCTGCCAGCATAAAAGTTACTATGATTGTTTTGGCATTGTCCTAGTGATTGCATAATGGTTATTTTAGTTCTCATCATTACATCGAAGGAAGAAGGAAAGAGAGGGTTAGGTAGGATTGTCCCTATCAAGACAGCAAGCATGTTTTCCAAGAATTTTGTAGCAGATTTAAATTTCTTTGGCCGGAGTTGTCACACAGTCACTCCTGACTGGAAGGGGACTAGGGAGAAGGAAAATCGAAAAGGGACTTGAATGTTGAAACCAACATTTCCAGACATGGTGGGACATAGCAGTCCAGAGTTCTGGAATCTGATGGTCCTAGGTTCATATCTCAGGTCTACCACATATTAGTTCAGTGACTTTGGGAATGATTCCAAAGCTTTCTGAGACTCAATTTCTTTCTTTATGATAAGAGACACTGCATCATCAGTCACACAAACTTTGCGCTATAAATTCCCAGTTTACTTGATCAAGGATACAAATGTGTAATGAAATAAGGTGACAACCTAGAGAAAGAGAATGTATGGCTTTTTGCTGGCCTTTGCCTTCCTAAGAAGGAGCCAGATACCAATGTCACTCTACACGCAAGTAGGGTCCTATTCAGAGTTGATACAGCAGACAATTGCTAAACCACTGTTCTTTTTATTCTTTGGATTTACATTACCATCTCAGAAGTAAGTCCACTAACAATCTTTGTTTCCACTTAGTGGAATGTTAATAAACACTGAGCTTTCTTGGGTTCCTGAGCCAATTTAGTATCAACAATAGCTTCCTATGGGGAGAATGCAGTATCCTTGAAAATTGTGTATACTTCTACCATTCTTGCCTTACAGAACACCTGTTACCTTGTGCTACCTCATGAGGTTATTTTGAGAATTAAATAAGAGAATGCATGTTAATCAATACGTAAGAAATATCTTTGGCTTAGAAACATTTATCCTGATTCCTATTCTTAAAAGTGTGCTGCTTAGAAGAAAAGATTAGACTGTTTCCCTATTGCCTCTCCTATGGGTGTCAGAGTGCACAAAGGTTGGAAGAATGAAGAAATAAAGAAATGGATGGGAAAGGAAAAGTACATTGGCAATGTCAGTTGTAACTTATGTTAATGAACTATATACCTGTTTTTCTTAGAATTAATTCATAAAAAATATGTACTGTTTCCTATTTTCTTTGCCAAAAAGGTTGTATGACTCAATTTCAATTTATTTAAATAAGGTTTACAAGCTCTGGGGTATAGGAGAAGAAAAAAATTCTTTTCCCTCTATCCGTCTGTGATATTGTCATATAATAAATACATATTTGGTCTTTATCCATGGCCAGAGCTCCTAAAATCCTTGCAATTGCCTAAGTGATAAGAAAGGAGTATTTTTTATGATTCTGAACAAGTTCCTTTCTACCAAACCTTCGTTTATGTTAATGAGGTGACTTGTGGAAAGCCGCTAAGGATGGAGGGCTTGTTGCCAGAGGAACCAACCATGTGATTAGAGGGTAAAACTTACAGCCCAACCTCTGGGGAAGAGAGGACTGGAAATTAATCACATGACCAATGATGGAATCAATCATGTCTATACAGTGAAGCCCCCATGAAAACCAAAAAGGACAGGATTTGGAGAGCTTCTGGGTGGTGAATGCTTGGAGGTACTGGGAGGGTGGTGCACCCAGATGAACACTGCAGCTTTGTGTCGATTCTCTATATCTTGACTTATACATATCATTCATTTGACCATTCCTGAGTTATATCCTTTGTAATAAATGGTAAACGTAAGTAAAGTGTTTTTCTGAAGTCTGTGAGCCACTCTAGTAAATTATCAAACCAGGGAAGAAGATTGTGGGAACCTCCAATTTATAGCCAGTCCGTCAGTAACACAGGTGACAACCTGGACCTGTGACTGGCATCTGAAGTGGGGGAGGAGGGTGGCAGTCTTGGGAGACTGAGCCCTTAACCTTCACGGTCTGTGCTAACCCCAGGTAGATAGTGTCAGAATTGAATTGAATTGAATTGTAGGATACCCCGTTGTTGTATGCCTTTTTTTCTTCCCCAGTTGCCTTCAGTTCAAAATAATCTTCATGCCAGAGTGGCATACTCTGAACTACTTTGTGGGGTTAAGCCAATGGTTGAGTTCAACAGATTTTTCAATGAATGTTTAGAAGAACTGAGTAGGATTTATCCCAAAAACATAAGGATAACTTAACATTAAAATGTATTATATGTCATGAGTTTCTAATATAAATTAGAAAAATAGATACAGGTTAAATATACAGCAATCATAATCTTAAAACCA